TCCCCCACACCCCACATTCCCCATCCTCTAACCCAGCCTCTCTCTGCCCCTCCTTTCCCATTCCCAACCAGCCTCCTTCCCACCTGCCCCCCACTTCCACCGTCCGTCCTGCCCGCCCTACCTCCCTCCGGGTGAGCTGTGGGCTGCCCCTGACCCCATCTCTGGCTCCCCCAGGCCCAGCAGCACAGCACCGCGGACCGCGCAGGGAGCCATCGCCGGCAGCAGGCCTACATCGCCCCCACAATGGCCCAGGCCCCCTACTCCTTCCCGCACAACAGCCCCAGCCACGGAGCGGTCCACCCCCACCTGGCCGCTGCGGCCGCTGCCCACCTCCCAGCCCAGCCTCACCTGTACACCTACACGGCCCCCGCGGCCCTGGGCTCCACCGGCACTGTGGCCCACCTGGTGGCCTCCCAGGGCTCAGCACGCCACCCCGTGCAGCACACCGCCTACCCCGCCAGCATCGTCCACCAGGTACCTGTGAGCATGGGTCCGAGGGTGCTGCCCTCGCCCACCCTCCACCCGAGTCAGTACCCCGCCCAGTTCGCCCATCAGACCTACATCAGCGCCTCGCCAGCCTCCACCGTCTACACTGGATACCCGCTGAGCCCCGCTAAGGTCAACCAGTACCCTTACCTATAAACGCTGGGGGAGGATGAGGACGGTATGGGGGCAGATGGCGGTGGGGCAGGCTTTTGATACAGAAGACCCAGCCGCGCACAAACAATATGCAGGGAGAGTGAAGGGTGGGCAGGCAGGGCGGGATGAAGCTTGAACTAGGAGGTGGGACAACTTGAGCAGACAGAGACGACAGAGACGAGAACGTTTTCAAAGGAGGAAATTCAGGAGGGAGGAAATCTATGCTTTTTATTTTAAAAAAGAAAACATCCGTAAGGAAAAACACAGCTCTCCCGAGCCCATTCTGCACCCAACTGGAACAAAGAAGAGGAACGCCACAGAAGATTCCAGAAGCAGGGGGGCAGGGGGGCCCCCAGTATTTGAAGAACTTTTACCTATGAACTTCTCAAAGATTATTTTCATATGGCAGCAGGTGACATTTAAGAATTTGCTGCCAAGGACACCTGATAAGGAAATCCAATAGATTTTTAATGAATTGAACGCAAGAATTAGGGATTTTTCCAGAGCTCTGAAGGGTCAGCCGCGGCCTCTCCAGAAGACCAGGCAGAAGCCTGAGGGGGCTGATATTTGGAGGTCAGTTGGCAAGACCGGGAAGTGGGAGGAGAGGACGCCTGTGGATGGTAAGCCCTGGAAAGGGGCCATCTCGTCCTTCCAGAACACTCTGGACAAATCCCTAAGCAGTGTAATTCCTGAAACGTCATTAATCATGTATGTGGCAAAGTTGAGTTTCTTTTCTGAGGATTTCTGTTCTCTTTGGCTCAATCCCTAGTCGCATAGCATAGGACTAGTGGTCGGCACCGATCCCCCCCTCCCCCAAGTAGAATGTAGCATTCTGCACCCTCGTTTTCAACTTTATGTTCAACTCCAGTAATACCAATAGACTATTCCTCAATGTGATTGCACAAAAATAAGTGGTTTCACACAGGTGTGTGGCGGCCCCGGCGTGTGTGCGTGTGTGAGCGTGAGCGAGCGCATGTGTGTGGGTGCGAGTGTGTCCCAGCACCGCCGTCCTCACAGCCCTCCCAGTCCTGGATTTACATCTTCCCTCCTAGTGCCTTATGAAGGACCACCACCTCAGAGGTTCTCCCCTAGTGGGATCCCAGCAGCCGCGAGGCCAGCCAGGTGAAAGCTCTCTCTGCTTTCGCCTTCAGAACGTTCTTGTCTGGCCTTTCCTTGTGTTGTTTTTTGTTTTCATACTCGTGTCCTTCTCGGGCTGTCGGGGCGGGCTAGGAGGAGGGAGGACGAGGTGGGGTGGGGTGGGTGTCTGATGATGATCAAGGCTTGAGTTGAGTTCTATTTATTCTCAGATGCATCCCCCCTCCCGGCGTGTGGGGTAGGCCCACAGGTGGGCTTCTGCCCTCGCTGCTTTGCCGGACCCTCCCTCCACAGACCACCACCCGCCTCCTTCTGCCGATGAACCCCTTCCTAGTTCTTATTTTCGAGGGGCCTAGGTGGAGGGGCACTGTAAGGGGTCACCAGGAGGTCTCACACTGCACTTTGGAAAACACTCCCACGGACAGTTACGTTTTTTTCCAAAGAAAACTGCCTTCGCCCTCCTCCATCATTGACACATCCTGGACGTTTACTCAGGCCTTGAACCCTACTCGGGGGAGGTTCTCACTATTTGTAATTCGTAACAAATTACTCTTCAGTGCATGAATGTAGGGAGAGTTTGCCTGTCCACGGGTGGGGCTTGATGGATTCCAGTTATCTGATTCTCAAGGCTAACTTCCTGATGGGCCCCATCACTAAAAGTTGCCGGCCTCACCTCGCCCTCCCTCCCTCCCTCTCCTCCTCTCGGCTGGGCCCGCAGCCTCCCGTTAACAGTCTACTGTGAAAGGGGTGTTTATAGTGAACACAGCATCATTCCATTCAGCCTGGAAACCACTATCTTAGCTCTTAGCTGTGAAACAACTCTGGAAACTTCCTAGCCCAACCGTGAATTCTTACTGATCTTTCAAAGAAAGAGGGGCCCAAAATGAAGAGAACTTAGTTCCCAGGCTCGTGGAGTCAGGAGAGGTTTGCAGCTCTGAGCAAAACGTCTTTGTCTGGAGGTAGGAAGTGCCTGCATTTGAGACCACAGTAAAATGGTCAGTCTGCAGTAGTAGGGGTGGGAACAGTGGGTGGGGTTGAAGCCTTCAGAAGACTCATGAGCCAGGGCCACTCGGCCACAGTAGCCTGAAAACCCATGTCTCTGGTACTGTCTGATAGCCAGGTGGCAGAGTGTCCCATCCAACCTCGCACTGAGCTACAAAAGCATCGAATCTCTGCTCTGGATAGCCCTGAGTTTGCCTTATCAAGTGGCTTCCTGGACCCCACTGCACAGCCAGCTGCAGCCCTTTCTAGACTGGACCTCTGGGAGAAACAAAACATCAGTAAAACCTTCCATTCTGAAGAAAACACTTCTGCCTGCTTGAGCTGGACGTTCCTTGTTCCCTCACTTGATAGCTTCTCTCCTTGTCTTCATCCAGGTCAGGACTGAAAGTTCCCCACTGCCCCTAGAGATGGCATCCTTGTACCAGTTATTTCCACTGTTGCTTTTGTAGCGACGCTGTCATTCTGGGGATAGCTTCGCTGGGATTTTCAATGCACATTTATTCCAAGGATCTTTGTGTTTACTCTTCAGTGTTTAGCCTTGTTCTGCCTGTGAGAGTATGAGAATGATAGAGGGACACCCAGGTATTTTGTGAGACAGAAAGGGGAAGGAACAAGAGTTAGGAAGTTTGTTTCTGTCGTCTCCCACAAAGCGCATCTGGAGAAGCCACCACCCACCACCGGAGAGACAGGCCAAATTAAGCTGTTGGTGACAAGGTCGCCACCAGCAGCCTTGTGTTTCTTGGGATTTCTGTGGCCTAGGAAGAGGGCTGTTAGTAGCGTAGTGCATTATTATGAGAAGAGCTGCTAACCACGAGGTCATCAGTTCAAATCTACTTGCTCTGCAGAATAAAGATGAGACTTTCTGCTCCTATAGATTTGTAGACTATGCAGGATCTCTGTGAGTCGGAAGTGACTCAACAGCACACCACCAAGACGAGGTCTGAGAAGGTGTAGGCTTGGAGAAAAGTTGAATCCCTGCTTACCGGACCCTGAGCTTTGGTGTACTTCTAAACCTGCTACTGGGGGCATTGGCCTCCCTGCCTTTGATCGTTTACCCGTCATGCAGCAAAAGGCCCTTTGCCCAGGGCTGACACAGCCCCCTCCCAAACACCCTGTCTTTTCCCTTCAGTGCACCAGGAATGTGGCATATAGCCTTCGATACAGAGACAGTTGTGCCCTCCTAAAAACCGCAGGGGGTGATGAACTGATGTCAGGGTAGTGGGCAAGTGGACCTTCCCCGATGGTCTCAGCCTTGCTTACTGTCCTGCACTCACTGATGGTACTGCCCGCTTCTTCATTCCCCTCCCAGCACACAATTCCAGTGACCCGAACAACTGTATGAGGATGGACAGGAAGCTACAGAAACCTCTGGAGCAAGTCTGCAGCCTTCAGCACATAGTTGTCACATCCCCCAAGTGGTCATAGTCAGCGGAAGCCCTGGAGGGCTCCAGCAGCTGTCCCGTCCACTCTAACCGGGGTCCTTGGCAAAGCCCCCAGCCCCAGATGAAGAGGGGTTTGAATGGCCACATTTCCTTCAGGAAGGGAGGTGTCTGGCTTAGGCTGGCCCCCAGTGTCCACAGACATTCCTGTGCCCTCCCTCCCCTCACCTGACCTCCTCTCCAGCTCCTCCACATACACACACACACACACACACACACACACACACACAGAGCTGCAGATTTAAGGTCCCAGAAGAGGAACGCCAGCAGTAAGGCCAGCCCCTAACCCTGGGTCACCCGACAGGCAGGGTATAAAGACTGCCTGTCCCCAGGCCAGGTCCCCATGGAGGACTTTAATCAGCCCCATTCTCCTTGAGTAATGAAATGCCGTGAAGACAGGACAGGGAAGACGTAAAGGACGCCTCAGGAGGTGACTTGCTGCCAAGCAGCTCTCTGGACTTCCTGCCTCTTTCATGATGTGATGCCTGTTTCCAAGGGGTGAGGCGAGCAGGCCACGGGCTGGGTGACGCTGAGGTGCGATGCCAGTCGACACTGAAGTGGAACGTGGTGGATCTGACTGAAAGGGGTGAGAAGGACCGTTGGCAAGGTGGACTGTCCTTGTGTGGGAGCCCCCAGGCTTCCTCCTCTCTCCACAGGAAGACTCCATCGTCCAAACAGCAGATTGTTGGGTGTGAGGAAGGGATGGTGATACAGCAGAACTGCCCACAGGATGATTTCCCTGTGTAGACCTTTGGAATTGCAAACGCTCATTTTTGAACAAGCTTGTGGTGGAGGGTTTTGGTTGTGTGAGTGTGTGTGAGTGAATGGAGCAAACTTTCTTGGAAACATGAGGAAGGCGATGAAGAGACTTCAGGAAGTCTTCAGATGGTTCATGGTTGATAAAATGTGATGCCTCCCCGGCCCAGCCAGGCTTTACCCCAGGTCTCTGCTGGGTGCTGAGGCTAGGGGCCTGCTTAACCGTTGCTCTTGCTGCCCTTTGAGGTAGGTGCTGTGACAGAAAACAGAAAGAAGAAAATCACTAGGTGAAACAATTCCTCAGAAAGGCAAGGATGCTTCCTCTCCCACCCAACATGCCACCCCGAGGCCTCTGCTTCGCTCCCTGTCCGCGTCTTTTCTTTCTCGTGTGTCTCACTTCTGACTTCCAATGGGAAAGCCTCAACACTGAGCAGGCCAGAGCTGGCCTCACCAAATTGAAAAGGAAGATGAAACTGTTCCTTCTTTTAGCCAAAGAAACCTTCTCAGAGACACCTCCACCTAAGAACAAAATGACTTTCCTACTCTCCTTTCTGGGCAATAATGACATCATGAGTGATGGGATCCCTTCTGGTGTTCTCTTTCCTCTCAGTCCTGACAAGTGTGTTGTCGTGTTGGGTTTTTTATTGCCTTTATTTCGAAGCTGGAGCCGCCCCAGAATGCCTGGGTCTCGTCTCTCATCACCTAGGGCAGTGCGGGCTAGGCCTTCTGTCAGGCCCTCTTGTGGGGACT